GGACCGGGAGGAGGAGCGCCCGACACGCTTTGAAAGGCGCCGTCGAGTTAAATCAGTCCCCCAAAACGCTGCGCTTAGACCTGCATGGTGGGGTGATGGGTGGTGGTGGGTTTTTTTTACACCATTCAGCGTTCTCAGGGTTTCTAAGTGAACCCGCACTCCCCAAACAATGCCCCCTGCTCGCACCGGCGAATTAAAACCACTGCATTGGTAAACCCGGTCTGAGAGGGTCTTCTTTACTCTCCTCCCCCACCCTACCTCCAGGGATAGCACAAAGCCAAGTCACTTATTTAGCAAATAACTGGTTTCTTTCACGAGACAGTGTAATTTCCTCATTTTTTGATTAGTGGTGAGATTGGAAAATCCAGAACAGGCGGATGTATTGGGTAATGCATAATACCGCCTGATGTCTGACGCTAGAACTCCACATTAAGGCGAGCAGAGGGAAGCGGAATGTTCCCTGGGCCGCTGAAGGCTACTGTGCAGAGCAGGGGGAACGGGCCAAGTCCTGGAGACGCAGAAGCACAGATCCGCTGCCATCTATACACTCCCTTCCCGGTGAGAAACAATGCTGCAGACCACACCGCGTTTGTATTAAAAAATATTGTTGTATTACTCTTTAACTGCTTCCAACCATCATACAAAATTTAAAAATGTTAAACACACACACACACACACACAGAGGTTATCACAAAAGGTGAATCTGGAAATCTTTTGGAACACGATAAATGCATTCAGAGGGTAGGGAAATGGATGATGTATATGAAAAGATCTCTTTCCTATGGCATTTCATTAGATTATGGAACAAGGGCTTCCCTCCTCACAGTCCTCTCCTTTGAGTTACTTTAGAACAACGGCACAAAATATCTATTTAAGGTCCGTGAACTAGGACTCCTAAAACTTTTGGTTTTCCCTTTTTGAATGGGCCTAGGAGAAAGGTCTGACAAACCAGTTCTCGGGTTGGGTGAGGGGAGAAGATGAGTGGCCCGTATCTTTTATTCATCCTGGGGGCCTCTCCTCATTGCAGTGCTTCCGCCTGGGTCTTTATTCCAGTATATTTTCTTTCTCCTAGATTCCTAGGATCTTGGAGATTACCTAGTCCAATCCCCTTATTCCAAAACTAAAAACACCAAGGCTCAGCAAAATGTCCAGGGTTACACTGCAAATGGCAGCAGTCAGATCTCTGAGTCCCAGTCCTTGTACTGTTTGCTTACATGACATTCTAGAACCTCACTGTTTTTGTGTTCAGATTCACAGGGGCTGTCATCGTATGCGGGATATTTGGAATCAGTACACAGAGCACTTTTAAAGTTATTAAGTAAGATCTCTAGGGCTTGTATGCCATGTTTCTTCTGAAGCCCTTGAAGCCTTTTTTGTTCTTTTTTTAAAATCTTAAAATATGGCATCAAGATCCCTTTCCCCCATGCAATGTTTACTCTTTCTATTATTCACTGGTCTGATACTAGAGTCTATATTCCCCACTCAAACAGGGAAGGGCTGGACGAGGTAGGATTCTCAGAGTAAGAGACACAGAATAGGACATGGGAGAAGTGTCCAAGGCCCACTGGCTCAAACTTTGCTGGCCCTTCCCGAGCAGGGGGCCCCCTTCTCTCCAGTGGTGCCTCCTCCTCCTTTTCTGTCTGCTTTTCTTAAACCTCCTGGGCTCAGGGTCTCTGCTTGTTCAACACAGCTGACAGTTCCTGCTGGAAATCCTGCTAAGTGTTTTCCATTTCTCTCCCCCCTCCCACTCTGGCCCAGAAATACCACAGGGCCCTGGACCACCCCTGAAAACCAGAGAACCTTGCTCCACGGGAAACATGATTCAGATACATCATCAGTGCTTCAAGGTGCATCACTTGGAACATGTAAACAATGCACTAAATGATACCATGTTCCCCATACATTAAGTCCTCTACATGTTGTGGACATGTTCAGTTCCGAGAACACAT